TGCTCAAGCAGATCTTGATCTCAGGGTCTAAGCATGCAGGGGTTGACTTCATTTTAAAAGTGTTTGTGTGCTGTCAATCTGTTTAAAGTTAAGATGCCCTTGAGTAGATCTGAAGACTGCAAGAGTGTGTAGTTTTCTTGGATTGGTTTAAAAACCCCGTTGATCATAACAATGAAGTGATACTCTCAGCATTTTATAATAAGTAGTTTGTGTGATAAAATAGAAGTTAATGACTCTTATATGTTAACTTCCATCAGTGGAATAGAAGTTGTTGGTGGAATGAATTTACCTCTTTCTGTGTACCATCCAAATCTGCAGATATGGGTGATGTTTGGATGGGGAATCCTGTTGAATTCATGGCTGTTTTTTCATGTGAAGTTGAATTTAGTCCACTGTTTGTTACTGTGTTCAGTGGAGCTTATTCCCAGTATGGGCTAGTGAGCTGAACTCTCACTTTTGCTCCCTTCTCTAATGCTTCTGAATTACTTTTGAAGAAACACTTTATATGCAGATAGTATTAATTGCTTTTCAATTTCTATTCTGAAATGGTGTTTCAAAAGTTTAAGTTCACACATAAACATAATTCATACAACTACCTAATAAAAGTCAGCTTGCAAGCAAAATACAGTAAAGCAACATAAATAGTAGGGCTAATTAAATTCCTGTATTACTGGGCAATTTTATGGACTTTGGACAATAAATAAAAATATGGAAATTATTTACTGTGGAAAACCATGAACAAAACGACAAATCTTGAGAAAGTAGACAACACTGTTCTGTGTGAACTACTGTTCCAGATATATCTTCAGGTTTAAAAGAGTGGAATCCAAAATGGTTATGCCAGGACCCCTGAAGACAGATAATTCTGCTCCCTTTTTTTCATCATGAGTAAATTGAATGATCCAATCTCATCTGGTCCATTTGAATCTCTCTGGGAAGAAAGTAAATCCAGAACAGTGAACTGTGCAATATCTGATTTCCTCTGCTCTTTTGAGATTAATTTCTTGGTCATGACGTCTAAGCAAATTCTCTAGCACAGTGTTTCTCAACCTTGACAATTTTAAGGCATGTGGACTTCCAGAATTCCACAGCCAGCATTGCTGGCTGTGGAATTCTGGGAGTTGAAGTCCACATGCCTTAAAATTGTCAAGGTTGAGAAACACTGCAGCAGCAGGTTGGAACCTGATAACTGTTAGAAGCCAGTTGTTTAATATATGGTCTAATTATACTGAAAGCCATTATTTTAGTCAACTTGTATCCTCTCTCTCCTTCAAGTCTCATCTGTATGTCAAAAAAGTGTTTGTCTCTCTTCTGTTCTGTGAAAGGGTGAGGTGTTGTTTAACTCTGCATGACTCAGATCTTTACCATGTTTCTTCTGCACAAAACTCCTTGGAAGAGAAGGCACACTGTATGTCAAAAAGAGTTCTGAGTTCTCTCATGTACAGGGCAATCTGGCCAAAAAATCCTGGTTAGTGTCCATCCAACATTATTACTGCCTCATCTGTAGCAGAGCTGCTTCTTTCCATCTGTACTTTTAAACAGCCAAGTGTCAAGTTTACCAGAAACCTCAAATACAAAAACCATTGGTTGCAGAGCAACGCTGTAATACAAAACTGAATCCAAAGCTTAAAAATGCAAAGCAGCAATTCTAACACCTCTGTGTGTGTTTGTATGCTCTTGAAAAGCAACTCAATATTCTCCAGTTGGGTTAGATGGTAATTCCCCTGAATCCAAGCAAGCCTAATGGGAATTGTAGTCTGAAACATCTGCTGGTTAAAATGAATTCTGCCCTAAGAGCACTTTTGCAGAAGAAAAGTACTCAGATGTGTAGCTGAAGAAAATTACTTAGATAAACAATTACAGGTAGTCTTCGATTTACAACCATTCATTTAGTGACTGTTCAAAGTTACAGTGGCACTGAAAAAAAGTGACTTATGACCTCTTTTCACACGACCATTGCAGCATCCCCATGTTCATCTGATCAAAATTCAGATACTTGGCAACTGGTTCATATTTATGACAGTTGCAGTGTCCTGGGTCATGCGATCATTCTGACAGGCAAAGTCAATGGGGAAGCCAGATTCACTTAACAACCGTGTTACTAACTTGACAACTTAATAATTGTCTTCATTAGCAACAGAAATTTTGAGATCACTTGTGGTTGTAAGTAGAGGACTGCGTGTATCTGGGACTTGGGATTGTTAGAAAACGGAATGCAAGAGAAAGCTTATTTTGAACTGAATGTGCATTTTATTTATTAACTTATTCTTTCTGTTATAATTATTATTGTAGGCACTGCTACAATAGCACATTCTCAGTAACCCATTATAGCTCTCATGAAAAACAGTACAGAATTAAAATAGCATACTGCCAAACAGATGGAGGCAAAGCATTTTTATCTTCAAAAGAGCCACGTTTTAACAGCTTTTTGGAAGATGATTAGAGCTGAGGATGTTGGGTGGGGAGGAAGCATGTTCCATATGGCCAGGACAGCAATTAAAAAGCATGGTGTATAAGTGTGTGTAACATTCTGTGGTTTTTTTTCTGGAAGATAACTAAAAAAGTTAATTTCTCTCTTAAGCAGATGTATTCCAGCTTGGGCCACATGTGGCCCTGTATAGCTAGTAAGGCGGCCCCACAAGATAAAAAGAAATAAAAAAATATTATTTATATATGTTAACTGATGTATATATTAACTATATATATTATATATTTATATGCAACCCAAGACCATTCCTCTTCTCTCAGTGTAGCTCAGGCAAGCCAAAAGGTTGGATAACCATGCTCTAAAGCAGGGGTAGTCAACCTTGGCTCTTTTATGACTCGTGGGCTTCAATTCCCAGAATTCCTGAGCCAGCTTAGCTGGCTTAGGAATTCTGGGAGTTGAAGTCCACGAGTCATAAAAGAGCCAAGGTTGACTACCCCTGCTCTAAAGCATATTTTAGTTATGAAATTACATATCAGGGAGCCATAGAGAATTCTGAGTCATATAAAAGCTGTTCTGTGTGCGTGTGTGTGTGTGTGTGTCTGTGTATACAATACAGTTGCAATGACAAGTTTGCCTAAAGGCAAATATACAAAGTTGACACATTTGTACTACTGTACTATTTTTTAAATTAAATCAGAATCTGATCAGGTAGGGATTTTCTCCACAGTTGAGCTTGCATTATATATATTCTTCTATTTATTCAGCCCCATTTATCTCCATGTGGCTGAGTCATAAACAGTTTTAACAGCATATTCTTTGCATAATGGTTTGCTGTTACTATTTATAATGTGCAAGATCACAAATTGTCTTTGAAGGTATATTTATTCCACAAGGTCTACCTCCTTACACCAGTACAGATTAGCTCTTTAAATTTTCAGCAGAGATTAAAAAACAAATGTCAATTCAAATGTATTTCATTCCGTGCAAAATCAAACATATTTAATATAATGCATATACTTCTGCCAGCAGCAATTACACTACCTGCATAATTCAAGGGGGTTATATGTATGATCAATCTGTGTGACCTTCATATCTCCCATTTTATGTCCATAGTGTTTTAAAGAGCATTTATAGGTTGTACAGATGGGACCTAAGGGGGGGGGGGAACCTTTCAAATTTAATTTTTGCCTCTGTTGTAGAATTTGTATTTGATCAAACAAACATCTAAATATCTTGCTAACTAGTTTAATTATAAACTGTCCTGGAGAGTTTCTTCAGTTTAACCATTTGGAGCCAGTCCAAAAGATGGATATCCTCCATATTTATACTAGGATTGTACAAAACGTTCAAAACTGATGTTTTACATCAGAGGTCCCCATCCTTTTGGGCACCAGGGACCGGTTCCGTGGAGAGAAGTTTTTAACGCAGACCGAAGGGTGCATGGTTTTGTGTGCTGCCTGCATCTTGTGGATGGGCTTTGCTGGTTTGTGCGGCCCAGTTGCTGGCATGCCACGGCCCAGTACTGGTCCATGGACTGGGGGTTGGAGACCCCTGTTTTACATAACTTGGTGCATGTGAAGCACCGCTGCTTCATAAATAGTTAAAAGCAGCCATGTTCCCCAGAGGCACATGACTATTTCAAAAGCTTTCCCCAGTTGTAAGCCAATGTGATAGGAGAACACAGTCTTTTTTAAGCAAAGGGAAACTAAAAAATGAATTGAACTGGGACTTAAATGTGATTAAATGGAGATGAGTTAATTCTTTCCTAGGTATTTAATATCTCCCCTTGTCTTCTGTTCAGAATTATAATACCTATAATCCTCACACCATGCTGGAAAAATGGTCATTGAATCTTTTCATGAAAACTTTCAGTGATGACACATCCTTAGTTTCTGGAGAGAGGTTGTTCCATTGCTTACCAGTTCTCATAGTCGGGAAATCTCTTATTTCATGTTTATGTCTCCCTCTGTAAAGCTTCCATCCGTTGGCTCTGTGAGAATAAAGTTGGAGTCAGACAGCCACTGGAGGTATACCCCAAAATATATGCAAATAGAAATCAAGAACTGAATTACTTTAGATCAGGAAATGCTCATCAAGACTACAAAGACCTAGTTGAAGACAACTGTTTAATACTTATATTAACATAGGCAAGGAACACAGAAGTTAAGTGATTAACCCAAAATGGTGCATGCCTGAGGTTTTTTTTAAGCTTTTGATTTTACTCAGCCAAGCTATAAAGGGTCAGAAATCTTTGCTAATCTAAATTAAATTATCTGGTGAGCTTTCCGCTCCCCTTCTAACTGTGATTGGAAAGTCAATTACTATTATAATTTTCTGCCTCCTTCTCTTGTGAGCTATGAATTGACCTTCTGGTTTGTTCCTTCATCTAGTCCTCTAGTACAACCTGCTGTTGAGTCAAATAAGTAGAGAAAAGAGGAAAAGGGAAGCATTGGTTTGATGAGTATATCTCAACTCCCTCCATGTTCAGTTAAATCCAAACAATGATGCACAGAAGGCTGATGATGATCTTTTAAATCTTTGTTTTTGTGCCCCCGACTATTCCTAGGTGATTATGGAGATCAGTGGGCTCCCACTAGAACTGTGGCGCTTAATACTGTCCTACTTGCGTCTTCCTGACCTTGGCCGCTGCAGCTTGGTGTGCAGAGCATGGTATGAGCTCATCCTCAGCCTGGACAATACTCGGTGGAGACAGCTGTGCCTTGGCTGCATTGAATGCCGGCATCCAAACTGGCCCAACCAGCCTGGTGTGGAGCCTTGGTCATGGAGAGAAGCTTTGAAGCAGCATTATCTCTCTTCTAAAACCTGGACCAAAAACAGCCACGATCTGGAGTCCTCCAACTGCTTCTACTTATTCAGAAGGAAAAAGGACAGGCGGGTTCTTTGCGTTGGTCCTGGCTGCGAATTTGACAATCTAAGGAGTGCCTTGCTTTCAGCCAGCATGTATGACCGGATTGTCCTGCTGCCAGGAATGTATGAGGAACAGAGTGAAATCTTTCTCAAGGCTCCTGTGGAAATCATGGGAAAAGGCAAGCTTGGTGACGTGGCCCTTCTAGTGAGCTTTGACCAGCACTGTCCAACAATGAGGTTATGCAATTTGGTCTTTATGCCAGCCTGGTTCACACCAGTAATATATAAGGTGAGTATGAAGGAAGGAGCCAAAGAAGCATTCGGGTTTTGGGATTCCCTGAAGAACAATAACGTGAGAATTGGGGAGATCTGGGCAATGTGGCAGAATCAACACTAAGGTTTTCCCAACTTGGTGCCTTTTAAATGCACGCCCCAGTGTTCCCTGCCAATGTGGCTATTGTTTCCTGGTTGCCACCAGATTGGGGAATGGTTCAAGGGAGCCTGATTTGACATGGGGAGCTACATCATCTGGAATTTCTGGCTAACTCAACTTATAGTTGGTATAGTTGGTGGGAATTTAATCAAGACATCTGGATGGCACCATGATAAGAAAGGTACCCTGCCAAGTTAGATCAACAGTAGACAAGGTATTTCTTTTTCAAGCATGAAAGGACCCCTGGTGACCCAGTGGTTGGAATGCAGTATTGTAGGCTAACTCTGCCCACAGTCTGGAGTTTGATTCTGACAGGCTCAGGGTTGACTCAGCCTTCCATCCTTCCAAGGTCGGTAAAATGAGGACCCAGATTGTTGGGGGCAATGTGCTGACATTTGTAAACCACCCAGAGAGTGCTGTAAAGCACTATGGGGCAGTATATAAGTCTAAGTCAGGGATCCCCAACCTTGGCAACTTTAAGATCTCGACTTCAACACCCAGAATTCCCCAGCGAGCATGGCTGGCTGGGGAATTCTGGGAGTTGAAGTCCACAAGTCTTAAAGTTGCCAAGGTTGGGGACTCCTGGTCTAAGTGCTATTGCTATGAATGCATCATGAGTTAGTCAGGGGAAGAACCAATACTTGTTTCATCTCCATGTTGGGTTAGGAGCTATCATGATGTCCTGGTCTCTCTGTTTCATTCCCATCAGCGCAATTAGAAGATAGTAGACTAGGAGGTTCCGTATCAGTTTGCGGGCAATATTTCTCTAGAAAATGAATTTCCTCTTGGAACTGCTTTTTTAAAAATAGGCTGATCTGGTTTCATTCTCTTTTCTTAGACAACCTCAGGCCATGTCCAGTTTGACAACTGCAATTTTGAAAACAGCCAGCTGCAGATTCATGCTCCTGGGACTTGTCAGGTTAAATTCTGCACTTTCAATCAATCCAGCATCCATTTCCATAGCGTGGCTATCTGTCTCCTGGAAAACTGTGAATTTGTTGGCAGTGAAAATGCTTCGGTGACAGTGGAAGGAAGTCCATCTTTGGACAGGAACTGGGCCTGCAAGCACTTGACCATGTTGGCAAAATCTCGCTCTGTCTTGCTGCAGACATCTGAGTCCTCACATTGCAATATATCGAAGTTTGAGAGCCAGGGAACTCTTCCAATGACAGATATGAGGACCTGCGACATTGTGGTAGCTGAAAACCCAAGTCATATATTCCCTGTTTCACAGACTCAAGTGGGGCCAAGGAGAGGCTTTGAGAAGGAAAGGGAGCTATCTGGGAACCTTAACACAGCACACAAAGAAGAGGCCATGACTATAGACACAGATTCTAGTGACAGTGAGCTAAGCCTGAGCACTGAGAACGAGGACGAGGATGAGTCGCTATACAAACTGCCTTACCAGGCTCATAGCTTAAGCCACATGCTGGCCAAGATTGTCCATGGTAGGCCATCAACCGATGGATTACCAGCCCTTCAAAGTGACTACGAGCTAAAATCTTTGGCTCAGGAGCTGCAGCAAGATAAGGAGGCTCAGTGTCTCGCCAACACCATGCAAGGATGCCTTGTGAGAAAATGTCTTTTCAGGGACGGAAAAGGTGGCATCTTTCTGTGTTCCCAGGGACAAGCCACAGTGGAAGGGAGCATCTTCAGGGACTTGACCTATGCTGTGCGATGCATACAAAACAGTAAGGTGCTGTAAAAGGCAGGAGCAGATCTTGCATGCTATAGTTAAACCTAAAGTAATGTTTAGCCTTTTTTTTTTTTAAGGCCAACATGATCAGCCTTGAAATTGTACCTACAAATATTTGTGAATGTGTATGTCAGCCTGGTAATATTTTTCTTTTTTCTTTTAATTACTTTTATTAGTAGTAGTATTATTACCGAGGCAGTTTCCCCCCCTTTTTTTGTGCCACATACAGTTCAGTTTTCGGATTAAAACAAGTCCCCAAATTATAAAGACAAAGTTCAAATAAATATAGGAGAAAGCTAAATTCAAAACAAAATGATAAATAATTCAAAGGGCACAATTTTGGTTTAATCTTTTTTTTAAAGTTAGATTTTTATCTACAGTATGCAGAATAACTTAAATTTATTAATAAGTTGCCTTATGTTGTGCACAGTGGTGTCATATATAGGAGAGGCCAAGATGCATGAAGAACTGTGGAGCTTCACCCTTTTCCTATTTTAAATCTTCTCCAATAGCTCTGCTGGCTTCATAGTATCCCCAAACCTTACATATACATTTTTTAACATAACTTCCTCAATAAATTGAATAAATAGAAGAGTAGAAACAATTATTTAAAAAAAACCAATCCAATAAAAGTGGTAAGAAGAGATTCATAGACAGTAGGATTCTATGACTTTTCCCTCATCCCTATTAATGAAATTGCAGAACTCAGTTTGCCCTGCAGGTTTGTAAATAGGAAAAAAAAAAGATCCTTGGTATCTTGTTGGACTGCACTTAGTTTGGTGGGTCAGATATTATGAAGACCTGGTTAAAAAGCATTTCAACTTTTGCTGCAGAATATCAGTCCGCAGAGCATTTCTTCGCTTTTGTTAAATAATGTAATTGATCTGGGAATCCAGCCTGTTCCTTCATCATCATCCCACCTAATGTGCACGCACAGACACACACACACACACACACTTTAAACAGGGGGATTTTATAATTCTGCCCTGAGCTTGGTGAAGTGAACTTGATCACATGATTCCTCTTTTGCAAATCCCACTTCACCATACCGACGAGTGCCTTATTTAGCGCAGGAGGCTATGTGTGAATCATTCCTGACAGGCAGAAGTTGGAAACAAAGGCCGGGTTCCTGACAGCCCTCCTGAGTTGTTGCTCCTACTGAGAAAAATTTGAGGCATCCGGCAAGAGAATTTGGGTAGAGGCTGCGGAAGGGAAAGGAGTAACTGCACAAGATTTATGACTTATGTCTTAAAGCCTGTTTGCCGTCTTTTCAGCCATCTGGCAACCACATTATTGCCCTCTGTTTAGCAAGACTTGAGCGTTTAGAACTAGCCTTTTGCTTTGGACTGTTTGCCTAAGGATTGGATAGAACGCAGTGTTTCTCAACCTTGACAATTTTAAGGCATGTGGACTTCAATTCCCAGAATTCCACAGCCAGCATTGCTGGCTGTGGAATTCTGGGAGTTGAAGTCCACATGCCTTAAAATTGTCAAGGTTGAGAAAGACTGGGATAGAGGCTCACGGTCCTATTCATTGAAAACCTATTGTACGTTTGTAGTCAGTCGGATAGGTGGAAAGGAAATAGATGGAAATAAAAGCTGAATCACAGGAATTGCTGTCGCTAATCCTCCAGGACAATTGCAATCTAATAATGCCTTGCTGCAGGCAAGCAGGGTAAAGACTGAGGGCCAGGCTTCTTATGCAGGAAAAAGCAGAGGGATAACATGGTGTGACAGCATTCTTTGGGGTGAGGTGGCAGAGATGTTTGGAGTTGGCGTGGCTTTGGAGCGAACCATTAATATGGGGTTCGTGTGCCATTCCGGATGACTCTATTGTTCTCAGGTGAAAATGTCTTCTGGTTAGGCTGGCATTTTCTGTTCCTGTGTTTCAAGGCAATAATTTACTTCAAAGAATAAGGAGAAGGAAAGGCTTTAATGATATGCTTTGATTTAGGCTTCGTTTATATCAGGGAGGGAGGAAAGGAAGGAAGGAAGGAAGGAAGGAAGGAAGGAAGGAAGGAAGGAAGGAAGGAAGGAATTCAGGGATGATTGGCATCACCTTGGATTCTTAGATATATTATGAAAATGAACTATGAGCTTGCTCTGAAGCTGCTCTGAACAGCGCGAGGAGTGATAGTGATGTATTTTTCCATATGTTTGATACACCAAAAATATTATTGGAATTAGCAAGCCCAGAGAAATGCCTTTACTGATAGAAGCGGGGCTGATCCTGTGTACTAAGATACAGCAGTCCCACATGTGTTAAACCATAATGTGATTTGTTTGGGTTGGGTGGCATGTTCTACAAACCCAATACTGAGGTTTGTAATTCAGAATTTCTGGTTTAATGTGCACGTTTTCCAGTTGTCATTGACCAAGATTAGGTAAACCATTGGCTTAGTGCAGGGGTAGGCTACCTTGGCTCTTTTATGACTTGTGGACTTCAACTTCCAGAATTCCTGAGCCAGCCATGCTGGCTCAGGAATTCTGGGAGCTGAAGTCCACGAATCATAAAAGAGCCAAGATTGCCTACTCCTGGCTTAGTGCAATGCAAGAATTCAGCCTTAAGGTGACCTTTTTTTTGCTGTTTCTTTTGAGCCTGTCTTGATTCCAGGTGACTACATGGACCCATTCATACCATATATTTGGACAAAGTTTTTAGCCGTGGTTTGCCCTTGCCTTCTTCTTCTTAGGACTGAGAGTGACTGGCCCAAAGTCACTGAGTTGGCTTCCATGCGTAAGATAGGACTAGAACTCACAGTCCTTCTGCTCTTGGTCCAGTGCCTTAAAGGTATCATTTAGCTGAATCAGAATTTAAATTTGGAGTCATCAGAGTATAGTGGCTGAATCATGAAACAAAATATTCCATTTTTCAGGCCACCATCTGAAAAAAAAATTCCATCTGCTGAAATATTTTTTTTTTTGCCTTGGCATTGCTTTAAAAGGTTAGGCGTCTTCTCATCCAGTGCATTTCCCCCACCCTCGTTTAACATCTGAGCCTTGTCTCTTGAAATGGCAAACAATGAGAAGGTTCAGTGTTCCAAGCTGATGAAAGTGGGAACCTGAAATGAGAGAATACGCAATGTCCTTTGAATTGCATCTGAGTCCGAATCCTTATGATATATTGGCAAAAGCTAAACTGAGCATGAAGGCAAATGTGTCTTCACAGTTAGCTTGCTGGGTTTTTGGGTTTTTTTTCCCAAATGCAGATTGCATCATGGGGAGGAGGCTGACAGTAAAGAAGATCTGAGCTAATTTAAGCTTCCTTCTGCAATCTGGAGAGAAACTCCTCCTTCAAACCCGATATTTGCATTGAAAGAAAACCTCCCCGCTGGTGCCATTATCAGAGTGTCCCAGCAGGGGCCATTTACATTTTTTAAAATACCTGCCCATTTGATGCAAGGATGAATTTCGTGTCTTCTGCTATAAGTCAGGCATCGCAGAATCGCTAAGGAGCAAAAAGGCTTGAAGGAGAAGTAGCCATGCATGATAGGCAAAACAGTTCTGCGCCTCGGGTGCATAACCCTGGGCTTTTCATCCCACTAGCCACTTGCTTCCATTTCGTTTAAAATACAGCAAAGTGGAAACTTTCTTTTTTGCTTTGCTTGGGCAGTCTCAGAAAAGGGCTGGTTTGACGATGCTCCATGCCTATGCTCATCATGTTCAGATTTACTTCTTGGTGACAGGAGGTGAATTTGTTTTACCTTATTTAGTGATTTAATAGTCTCTCTCTCTCTCTCTCTCTCTGTCATTTTAAAGTAGTAAAACTTGAAAAGAAATTATTTAAAAATGCACAGCTAAACGTAAAATAATATAAGATTAGAGAAAAGAAAGAAGAGTAACGTGAAGTGAAAAAGTAAGAAAAGAGTGAAAAAAAAAAGAAAAAAGCGGAAAAGATATAAAGAAGAGACTTCTTGATCTTTATTATGGTTACAAATTGTTATTTTCTCTCCTCCCTCATTAAAATTGCATCATTGTTCTCATAATCAAATCTTTTTTAACAGGAACCCTATAAATCACTAGTTCACTTTTTCCTAACTTCAGCATAAGAGGTTTTCAGTCAGGTGATTTAACTGCCAGGCCCGAAAAATCAGGTCTACATGTGAAGGTCCAATTAAATTGATTTATTGCTACATAGCCTGTGTACAGTCATTTTCTCAACTACCAGTTAGCACCTGCTTGAAGTTAGATAAGAATCAACAGAATTCAAGTGGGATTGGATTTATTCCGCTCATGGCTACATAGGGATTCCAGGCTGATCCCTCTTTTAACTCCGCCCCCAGATTCTGCCACTCCTTCTCCTCCATCAACAGACTTTTGAAGGTGCTGAGTTGATTGTATTTGATTGATTGAATTTAACAGTTACTTGGACTTCCAAAAGGTCTATTTTATTTTGTATTGTTTTGTTATTTTATTTTTATGTATTACGATAATGAAGTTTGGGTAAAGGATGTGTGAAGTTCTATTCATTGTTTTTGTTCTATTCATTTCATTTTTCCCGCCTTTGTTCCTATTTCCCTTCTTTTTGGCATCATAACAATCCTGTGCAGTAGACACTTAGAATAGGAGATGGCAGTAGCCAGTCATGCTGCTTTCCATTATTGTGGCTTGCCACTAACAGCATGCCAGATTTGTAAACCCGGGTATTGGTGTGGTGTGATTAGAAAAAATGGTGGGAATTTATTTGCACAGTTGAGTTTACTTATTTATTTTACTCATATAAAATTTATATCCTGCCCCAGTCAAGAGACTCAGGGCTGCTCCCATTTTTTTTTTTTAAAAGATCCCCCTAAGAATATTAAAACAACAAATTGAAACATCTATGGAGATGCTCAGTCATCCGGGTCATGGTTATCTCAAAAGTGCTTTTTCCAAAGGCAACTAGACCTCCTTTGCTTTTGCTTAAAGAAGTTTCACTTCTCATTGAACAAGCTCCTTCAGTTCTGACTGCCAAAACTGAAGAAGCTTCTTAGATGAGAAGCGACACATTTTCAAGCAAAAACAAAGAAAGTCCTTTGAAAAAGCATCTTTGGGACAATTTGAAACAACACCTATTTTTAAAACAACAGCACATAACAGCAGCACAACCTCAAGCCCTGAAAGCCTCCATTGGCCTTCCCTTGTCTAAACTTGTAGGGTTTCAAGTCCTCGTAGACCAGGGGTGTCAAACTGCCGGCCTGTGGGCCAGTTGCATCATGCGGAGGCCGCCCCAGCTCCGGCAATGCAAAAAAAGGTGCGATACATCGCGACACGTCATATGAAGCATTGAGTTTGACACCTGTGTCATAGACAATGACAGGGCTTTCTTCTAAGCCTCTGTCCCTTCAACTCCCAAGGAGAGGTTACCCCAAATTATCACTTCCCAGGCCAGTTGCTAGGATGAGCAGATTCTCTTTGGAGATAATGGTCCCACAGGGTTACATGAAAGTAGGCTGGGTGGATCAAGCCATCACTTTGAATTGTAGTTGGAAACATATTGGCAACCAATGCAACATCAGTGTAATGCTGCTGATATGACCTCCGCCCACCAGCATGTGGGCTGCTGTACTCTGTACTTGTTGCAGTTTGTGAATAGTCTTCAAAGTCAGCCCCAGGTAGAACATGTTGCAGTAATCCAGTCTTAAATTAATGCGGGCCCGAGTCAAGAGTGTCTCTTTCCCACAAAAGGCAAAAGTTGGCACCTTAGGTAAAGCTGTAAATTTTTTCTCTCAACCACAGTCTCTACCTGCTGTCATGCAGAAGCCATGAGTCTTGGAGAAGCTCCAAATTTTGCCTGTTGAGAGTCAACGAAGGGGCTATAATCCAACCAGATGGCTCCTGGTCAGACAGGGATTCCATCTTGGAAGAGGGTTGGACTGGACCCTGGAAACAATTGAAGCCGTGGATGGTTTAGAGTAAAATTTTGCTTTGACTCAAATTTGGGATGGGTACTTCTATGTCCTAAGATCATATTTGGAAGAACAAGTCTCAGGGAATCAGGGTAACAGGATTATTTCCCTCGTTTTATCTCGGATACATTGTCTCTGAACATGGAGATTTTTCTCCATTTTCATATCTGATCATGGATAGAGCAAAAGAGTTTTCAAGATTTCTTAGTGTTCTTATTGACTGCCTGCCAGGATGAAGTTGTGATTGTCCACGTCTGTAAATCAGTAACCGGTAGACAATCTAGGCCAACCATCCATAACTACTGGGTTTGCTAGATAAAAAACAATGGGAATTCCTGCCCAGTACGTGTAAAAGGAAGGCATTAGGAGTCAACTGGCTGAATGCCCATATTCCCAGGCCAGCGACTGTGAGGTCCAATTGAGTGAGTTGAGAAGCCAGCCTCCGTAAGCTGCCGAAGCTGATCCATCAAAATCAAAGTTAAGATAGCTGTAAACACCTGTCAGTCTATTAACTGTGTTAGGATACGGCAGTATTTTCTGTTAATATGCTGGATTGCCAGCTTAATATTCTAATCAGGGCTTGACCTCTATGCCAGGTTAGCAGTGAGTGACTAATAGGGAGAGGAGCAGAGCGGCTTCTCTTTTCTTCCTGCATTTTAATTAACCGATTGGAAGGGGAGGCAAGCCATCTTTTAAAATGAGCAAATAAAGGAGTTTGTAATTTCATTATCAGCTTTGATATGCGCTGCTCAGTAAGGCAAGAATATTGCAATTTGTAGATTTGTTTCTTTACGCTTGTCAGGCGAGAGTTTAAAGGTTTATTGGACTGGAAAAGAATTACATGCATGCGTATTTAAACCACTTATTTGCTCAAATAAACCAATGCCCGGATTTAATTTTTTTTCTTTCAGCTGTGTAAATTAAATCTCAGGGCGATATGTATTTGCTTTCAGCATCCTCTTGTTTTGTAAGCCAGTTAGCTCTAAATCATAAGCTCTTTTTCAGATAAAATAGTCCCAGCAAATAAATTATTAAGTGTCCACTACCAAGCGAGGATTCCTAACATTTTTCTGCACGTGTGACTGTACTGCCTTCCACTCAGCCTTCTAGGTGACATTCTGCAGGTAAACATTTTGTCCTTGGTTCATTTTAATGACTCCTGATGCCCTCATTTGTCAGAATTGAGGCCAAATACCATGTGTCATATTGGAAGCTATTGCTCTAAATGCAAAAACATCTCATAATGCAGAGGCTCTCAAACTTGGGGGGGGGGGGAAGGGAATCACTCCCCCTGGTGCATTATAAGCAACTGAGGGAAGTTGAAGATTTTAAAAGCCGAAGGCGAAGCAGGAATGCTCTGAAATCTCACTTTTGTTTTAACTAGACAAGAGTGAAGCCTGGAGCAAAATTTGGTGCAGGTTTTGAAAGATGACTATCCCACGGTTCTAATTGTCTGTCAAAACTATTCACCAATCCCAGACATTTTATTACAGGTAGCCCTCGATTTATGACCACAATTGAGCCCCCCCGAATTTTTTTGCTAAGTGAGTCGTTTAAGTGCATTTTGCCCCATTTTATGACCTTTCATGGGACAGCTGTTAAGCAAATTACTGCAGTTGTTAAGTTAGTCACACAGTTGTTAAGTGAATCTGGCTTCCCCATTGACTTTGTTTGTCAGAAGGTCGCAAAAGGTGATTGCATGACCCTGGGACACTGCAACCGTCATAAATATGAACCAGTTGCCCAGGGTCTGAGTTTTGATCACATGACCATGGGGATGTTGCAATGGTTGTGTGAAAAACAGTCACAAATCACTTTTTCATGTGTCGTAACTTTAACAGTCACTAAGCGAACTATTGTAAGTTGGGCATCACCTGTACTTATTATTTAATTGTATTCCGTGGCAATTACACGGATTCATTTTAGTGAATTGCAGCCTTGAAAAGTTTCAGAACCTCTTCTTAATGTGTTTCTGTTTTAGCAAAACTTAGCTTAGCAATTATGGAACGTAAATATGATTTTGAAAGAGACCATCACATTTTCCTGGGTGTTACATAAACAGCAATTTGTGTTTTTTTAAGTATTTTCTAAAGGCAAAATGTATCTTTCTCTACTTTTCAGGGGGGAAAATCTTTTATTACAGAACCAAGTACAACATATCAGTGTCAGAGGTTTAGGGCAGGAGTCCCTGACCCCTGGTCTGTGGACCGGTACCGGGCTGCGGCATGCCAGCAATCTGTCAGCACAAACAAGCAAAGCCCCATCCATGGGATGCAGGCAGCACACAAAACCATGCACTCTCCTGTCCGTGGAAAAACTTTTCTCCACGGAACCGGTCCCTGGTGCACAAAAGGCTGGGGACCTCTGGTTTAGACCATATAAATATGATAAATATATAAAGTCTGTATATCAAAATAACATCAATACAGAGAGTCCTCAACTTATAACCACAATTGGAATTGGAATTTCCATGTAGCTTTAAGTCAATTAGATTTTAAGACAATATTTATGATGGTTGGTAAGCAAATCACACTGTTGTTCAGCAAATCCAGCTTCCCCAATGGGTGTTTTTTTTTGCCAGAAATTGGTAAAAAAAAAAAAAAAGGTTGCAAATTAGAATCACGTGACTGCAAGATGCTGCAACCAGTCATAAATGCAAGCCGGTTATCAAGCTCTCAAATTGGGTGCTTAAAAAGCACAAAGATTCTGCTGATAAGATCTCCTCTCAGGTCTGGAATTGGCAAAATAATAGAATCCTAGAGCAAAATGGAGCAGTCTCATTCAGGAAGAATGCTTTTGTTTGAAATAAAGACAGTGAAGTGAAGCACCTGTGAGCTAGGAAATAAGTAGGTCAAGCAGCTTTTCACCAGGAACTCAGCAAATGATTTTAGAAAGCTGGCTGGAGAATTCTGGAAGTTGAACCCCACACATCTTAAAGTTGCCAAGGCTGGGAAATCCTGTATTATATCGATAACATTGACTGCCTTAAGGGCACTTAGTGGAAAATATCAGAGTTACTGCAGAGGTGGCCATATTTTGATACTGATCTGTATAACTCCCAAGGTCATTCCTGCACTGTTTGTTTGGCCTGCCTGGATGTTCCATCACTGGAGGCTTTTAAGAACAGACTGGACAGCCACTTGTCTGAAATGGTCCAGGGTCTCGAGCAGGGGGTTGGACTAGAAGATCTCCAAGGTCCCTTCCAACTCTTACTTAGTTATCTTTTCAGTGAATAAATCTAACTCATTCTATCTTCCTCCTTTCAGATCATCATGCTCAAGAATGACATTCACCACTGCAAGACCTCAGGGATATTTCTGCGCCTTGGTGCAGGTGGCTTGATTGCAGACAATAACATCCATTCCAATTGTGAAGCAGGGGTGGATATTCGGAAAGGAGCCAACCCTTTAATCCTGGTATTGATGGGGTTTTTTTCATTTGACTGGGCACTGGATATTTATAGAAAAGAAGAAGCAGGTAAATCTCCTGCCATAGATCCCCTGCTCTGATAATTCTCTGCTTGGGATCTCTGTTAAAAAAAAAAAACAGGCCTGTGTGAGGAGGAATGAAGAGGCAAAGGAAACTGACGGTTCACATTCTCCAACTTTTCACTTTTTTCATGCATTCTGTGACTGCAGCATAGGTGACGGTTTATGGTTGACAGCTTTTTCGCATCTGAAAATGATTCATTCAGCATTGCATTTGGGCCTTGTGGTGCTAAAATGCTAAGCTTATAGATAGTCCAGCATATTAAAATATTCCTAGTGTAAAATATACTACTGAGCTGACTATAAGTGGATATTATGATGAATAGATGTCAAGGAGGCATCTAATCTAATCTAATCTAATCTAATCTAATCTAATCCATGTGTTCAACAGTGAGGAGCTTTCTCCTGTACTGTGCATAGCTGAATCATGGATTGTAGATCAAGGCAAACAGATAGACCTTGTTGTATTTCTGGAAGTCAGCCTTGTTTTAGGGAGGATACATTTATAAGAGTGTTATAAATCTTGGTTAGAATTTGATGCATCTCCAAGTGATGCTCGTAAGCTGAACTGTCTGCTAGATCAGCTCTGCCAGGGGCCATACGACCTCCTGGAGGTCCTAGTATATTTGGGGGCCACAGGTGAAAAACATGTAGTGGGGCCATGGCACATGCTGAGGGAGCCACAGAAAAGAAAAAAATACTATACTGTAAATCCAGTTTTGTTAATGCCACAAGACGCACCAGTTATTGTCCCAAGTCCATTTTGAGTAGTGGAACCTGGTCCTAGAGGGACTACAAGAGAAAACCAAGGTCAGAAGGTGGGCCATGGGTGAACAAAGATTGAGAAGCACTGCCCTGAATCAACAGTTCAGGATGTACTCAATTTAAAAGCAGCATGAGATAATGGGATTCAGATACAACGAATCTGATATTTAAGGACCAGAGGGATGTAAAATATTCCAAATTCCAACTAATCAGATTTTTTTAGCGAAATATTCCAACATTGTCCTGAACATCCTGACAATATTTGGTGGTTAGAATAAGATAAGATAAGATAAGATGATAAGATGAGATGAGATAAAGATAAAGATAACCTTTATTGTTATTTTTTACTGTGGGTACAACGACACACATCAAAAAATGAAATTTAGTTGCCCACTCTCAAAGTGAACACATACATGACACACACCTAAACATACTATATACAACATATACGTACTATACATTCTATATAATAACTCTTTTTCAAGGTTGATAAAATTGTTTTTGAGGTTGAAACAGATTCTTTAGAGCTTGAATCCAAACCAGTTGAAGCTTAAAACAGAATAGTGGGATTGGCTGTTTTGAACCCAGGACAGAGCCTTCGAAACTTGAAACAAATAGTTTGCATACAATTGTTAATGACTTGATTGGACATATGCTTTTATGTCTGGAGCATGTGCAAGAAATTATGATTTAATGCCTGACTACTCATCCCTCTGATTCTTCTTAATGTAGCAGGCCCCAAGCTTTTTAATATACCTCTGCTTACACTTACAGTTTTAGCCTCCAATGCCATGTATTCTTAAACCTTTTGAGGTAGTTATCTGATTTTCTCCCTTGTAAATGTAGATTCTCCTCACCAGGTTGATTGCCAACCGATCAGGAACTAACATTTGCTTGGGCTTCCTCATGTGCCTGCAAAAATAAGCAGGAAACACACTTTTCACTAATTAAGATAAAATATGATTATTTACTAATAACTGCTGTGAAGCTATGGTTAAAGACACAGTGGAGAAACTGAGAAGCAGTGAAGAGCTTGTTGATGCAGCAGCTTCTCTCCATCGTGAGAGTCCTTGAAATTGCCGAACTGTATGATCTGTGAGCAGAGTAATAGCTGAGAGGTGAAGGCAGAGAATGACAAATGATGGGTAAGGCATATGTTCTAATTAGGGGTAATAGCTGAGAGTACTGATACATGTTGACCAGGATATTCATTTTTTTTTTCATTCAGTTGCTCTTAAGTAGTTTGATGATAACTGAAACACCAGGCCTCCTTCAGTAGGATCCAAAAGTGGACATATATTTTTCTGAAATGAATAGCTTCTAGCATTTAAGGATCTGGGTGTCTTGGTCTGAAAGCATGTTGAAGTTCTTGATTTAGTGTGATGGGCCTCATTCACTCTTCTCTTTTTATTCTTTTTTTTTCCTCCCCACCATGCATAAAATAATGTGGCAGTGTAATAGAATCCACAGTGGCCTTCGCTCTGGCATCGTTGCCCTTGGCAACGGAAAAGGCGTCATCCGTAGCAATCAAATCTATGGAAATAAGGAGGCTGGCATTTACATTCTATATAATGGCAATCCTCTGGTAAGGTAGGTATTTGGGTTGCAGCGTTGTTTTGCTATGTTTAGGTGCCACTTCAGTGAGGAAACGGCTCTTCCTTCTGTTAAAGAGCAGACAGTAAGGATGTTGATTTTTCTAAAGGCTCTAAGGAGGCAGTTTGGCATTTGACAATTGCATAAGGCTTTGAGAGAGTGGCTTTCGTTAAATGCGCTCAGAGATTCAACAGAAGTCCTCAGTGAGACATTCAAACATGGTGGGGGAGCCTCCAGAGAGGTGGCCTATTGTTCCTAAGCAAAGCCAGGAGAATGTGCTCCTTCATTCCTGACAGTAGAGTGCCCCATCAATTTCCAACCACCTTTGTCCTGAAGAACAGCCTTCTCCACCTGGTGGCCCCCTCTTCTTTTGGATAACAACTCCCATTATCCCCAGCCAACCTTTTTGTAAGCACCCTTGCTGTGCAAGATCTATACTGTGTCTGACTAGAGTTACATGTTCCAGAACCATAACCTAGTGAAAAATAGGTGGGTTTTTTTTAACTAAAAAAGAACTTTGAGATGTCTTAATTTGTCTTTAAGTATGGAAACTTCAACACAACCGTTCACATATTCTTTTAATCTGTGTTTAGTTTTGGCTTGGCATGATGTTAAATGTGACCCTGGGCAGTCTGGCTTGTTCATCAAATTGTTTGAAGCAAACTGGCATATTGCAAGGTGTAAACTGAGCCCTAAGTCAATTTCTAACCCAAGCTATTTTGATTCCAGTAGTAGTAATATGTGTTTTGGATCATGTCCCAGTCTACCTTTTGCCCACCCTTCCTCTGCAGTATGCCTCTATAGCTTTTTTAATGTAAGGCAGGGGTCTTCAAATTTGGCCTTTTTATGACTTGTGGACTTCAACTCCCAGAAATCCTCAGCCAGGCATGCTGGCTGAGGAATTCTGGGAGTTGACGTCCACAAGTCATAAAAGGGCCAAGTTTGAAGACCCCTGATGTAAGGAAATCTCTTGACAGGCAGAGAAAACAGAATATTCACTCTCCTCCCTGCTTCCCTCCATCCAAGAAGCCCTTTTCAATTGATAAGACTCTCACCTCATTGCCATCCACACAGGAGGATTGTGTGAAGCCCCTGTAAAACCCTGAGAGTACTCTATGGATTTGATTTCTCCCACTGTGGGTGGAGAGTGGTATCATTTTCATATGACTTCCAATTCAATGGAGATGATCCAAGCAACAGCTACAACCTAGTTAGGTTTAAGTGTTTGTTTGAGAATGGCTTATTCTCCAGCACTGAGATGGAGACTCCACCATTGGGTAGTAGACTGTATTCCTGCCCAATCAGATCAAGTCAGCCAAAGTTGCCACGCACATCCTGGACCGTTGATCTCCAGTCTTTGACTTGATCTTGCCCAGGACAGACGTTGCAAGTTTGGCTCTAGGCAGGTACAGTCATTGGTGGATTTCCATTCCCAGTTTTCAAAATTTAATCAGTGCTTGCACCCAATTTGGAACTTCCCCTCAAAAATTTCCCTGTAGGTATTTCTAACAGAGACTAACGGCTGTTAGTCTCATCTCTGCTTATTTGGTTTTAGGATTGGGCCTGGCAGTGACTCACACGGGGTTTTTTATTCTCCCGACAGGAGGCCAACGGCTGTTGGTCTCCAAATACCACAAGCCTAACGGAGCTTGCGGCTGCGGCTCCATAGGCTGATTAAACGAGCGGAGAAAGGCCTCGGGGGGGGGAAGGTTTCTTTCCCTTGCTCGGCTCAGTCTGTTTTAGCCCGATCGGAGGCCAACGGCCGTTGGTCTCCAGATACAGGCCTCACGGAGCTTGCGGCTGCGGCTCCGTAGACTCGGGCGTGAATCTAAATTCGGGGAGAGGGGGGAAGAAGCCCCTGGATTACTTTTAACACCGTTTTCCTTCGCGGAGCTGCGGCTGCAGCCCTCGTGGCCCGATTGTTCTTGGCCTTCTCGTCCTCGTTCGATTGAGAAATCGGAGGTGCGCGCGCGCGTTCAGCCTCCGCTACAATCGGTGAGGCCAGCTAATCGGAGGTTTGGAAAACAGTTATTTGCTCCGTTCCTCGTTTTTATCGATCGCTCGTGCGCGGAGGCTCCAGAGAGTGCGGGGGGGGAAAATAATTTCCACAGCCCTGCCTGTATCAGGGAACCGCCATCTTGAGCCTCGTGGTCTTTAGCTCGACCGCGGCGGCCATTTTGAAACCGCAGTTTGCTCAAATGCAATTGATTTAATTAGTTGGTGAAACGAATTAACCTGATCAGGGCTGATATCAAACATACTCATTATCAGACAGTTTCCCTTTCTCTCAATTGTGGCAATACTGGGTTAACAAACTATCTGTAGCAAGATAGGCCGCCATTTTGGCCCGGTCGCCATTTTGTGTTCTTGATTTCTACAATATAGAGTTAGGAACCTTCCATTATTCTTATTCCAAGATTCTTTAAGCTATGATTTAATTATTATTTCAGATTTGGTGTCTCCTGGTTTTTTTTCTGATTTGGTTTTGACAAATTGGCACAATACTGGGATTCCAGACACCCCCTATAGCATGTCTGTCCTTATCCACAGTGTTTAAGTACGAATTCCAGGCTCCCCTTATAGAGTGTCTGTCCTTATTCGTACGCTAGATCTCCCTTGGATTCCAGGTGCCCCAGCAGTGTACCTGTCCTTATCCAACCGGGATTATACCTGGGTTCCAGGCGTCCCTACAGTCCGTCTGTCCTTACCCAGTGTTTGACATTTTCCTGATAACAGAAGCCCCCTATTGTGTTTCAGTGTTATCGGAAAATGGAGGAAACTTCTCTTTCCTCAATGAGTGCCCCGCCTTCCTCATCAGGTACTCCTGGTCCGGAAGGCACTGGTAAAGCGACCCATAAGGGCCGTTCTACCACCAAAACGTCTAAACAGACTGATAAACAAGCTACCAGGAGGCACCAAGCCTTGGAAAAGGAGTTCTCCAAAGCACAGAAGAGAGCCAGGCTGGAGACGCATGGGTCTGCGGGGTTAAACTTAGAATTACCCCTAGGGGTTTCAACTTCTCCCAGGGGTGTTTGGTCGAGTGGGGATTGCTTCCCTTCCCCCGCACAAGGCGGAATGGAACAGGTTCCCCCAGCTCCACAACCCTCCACGTCCAGGGCAGCGCAGGGGGGTCCTGAGGCCACTTTTACACCTACTGCGGCGGGGCTCCGCCCAGCAGAACCGATCCCCTTCCTTTCAGAAGAGCGTCTGGCGCTATTGATTAAACAAGCAGTCGACCATGCCCTTGACACTAGGGCCAGGGCGGCTAGGTCAATCTCTTCCCTTCCAACCCCTCTTTCCCAACCTGAGGTGGAGGCTCATTATGTTCCATCTTCTCCTTCTGGGTCTGTTGTTTCTGAGGACTCCTACCTCAACCAACCTCCCCCTGGCCAGGAAATTCTAATGTCAGAGGAGGAGGACGTTCCTCCAGAGGCTCCTGCATTTACGGGCTTATTTAACCCTGCCTTTTTTGTCACCATCCTGCGTAAGGCCACGTCTATGGCTCATCTAGGACAGGGATCCTCGTCAACGGAGGCTCCCGCTCTTCCAGATCCGGTGGCGGCTCCAGTTTACGTTGAACCTGTTGCAATACAACACCGTATTCCCTGTCCTTCCCTGTTTCTGACCCCAATCAAGAAGCAGTGGTCCTCTCCGGCATCACTTCCCTTACCAGGTAACACAGATAAAAAACTGTATAATGTTGCCAAGGAGCTGGAGAAAGCATTAGAAATTCTGGAGGTGGACGAACCCTTAGGGCCCCTGGTATCGGCCACGGCCATATCCGGTGAGTTTTCAGAGGCCCTTAAGGCCGAGGATCGCAAGTGCGAGTCCACCTACAAGAGAACGCACCAGGCGGCTGTCTGGGCGATCAGGACCGCAACTTCGGCCTCTTTCTTCACCAGGGCCGCCCTCACCTGGCTTCGGGAGCTCCAAGCCCGAGTTCCTGCGGAGGATGTCCGCACGCACTTGGATCTTAGCAAAATGGTGGCAGCCACGGAATATGTGTCGGACGCATCCTTACAGGCCGCTAGGTTTTCTTCCAGGGCTATGGCGTCCAACGTCACTGGAAGACGTATGCTCTGGTTAAAAAATTGGCAAGCAGATGCCAAATCCAAGTGGAAATTGGCAGCGGCTCCCTACCAGGGTTCTAAGCTATTTGGGGATTCGCTGAATCCCTACTTAACAGAGAACAAGGACAAACGTAAGGTCCTTAAAGACCTACTCAAACGTCCAAACAAGAGGACTGGTTATTTTCAATGCAAGCAGTCCTTTCGGGGGGGTCCAAGGTACTCCTATTCCCAGCCTTTTCGTGCCTTCCCGCCAAGGCAGGACAGGCAAGATAGGCAGCCTGACAGACAGAATCCCGGTCCCAGACAACAAGCCCAGGGGAAACGGCCCTTTCGGGGGAACAATAGACCTTTCCGCCGTTCCAGGTGACTCTTCAACGGCACCTCCCATAGGGGGCAGACTCTCTCTGTTCGCCCACCGTTGGGAGACTACCACCACGGATACGTGGGTCATCAACACGATCCGACACAGTCTAAATTTGGAATTTATATCTTACCCCCCAAATCGGTTCCTCTCCTGTCCATATCCCAGAAACCGCACAAAACTAAGGCTGATGAACGAAGCTATCCATCATCTGCTTCACATCAGGGCCATAGAACCCGTACCGCTGGATCAGAGAGGTCAAGGATTCTACTCCATCCTCTTTGTGGTACCAAAGGCGTCAGGGGGATGGAGGGCTATTCTAGATCTAAAGGACTTGAATTTTCATATAGCTTACCACAAATTCAAGATGCAAACGCTCCGTTCCATCTTGGGAAGCGTCAGAAAAGGGGACCTCCTGACGTCTATCGACCTCACGGAGGCGTACCTTCATATCCCTATCTCTCTGATCCATCGACGGTTTCTACGGTTTGCGT